ACCTTGCCTTTCCATTTGCTAAATAATACTACTTTTTTTCCTGTAATTTTCTATGGAGGCTTGTAAAAGTATCAAATATAAAGTGCATCATAAATGAGCTCACCCAGACTTCACCTTACTGTCTGCTCTCCCTTTTTTTACTATGGTTGGCATTTTATTAAGGAAATGATTATAAGTGACTGGCCTTTTTTGTTTGCTTTAAGAACACGGATCTTGAAAATTCAGTCTGTCACTCATCTATCTCCTCTACCAAAATTCCTCAGATCTCTGTTGAAACAGTACAGTATAAATAAAATGGGAAAACATGTAAAGCAAGTTTGTTAAGGGCTCTATATCCATACATGGGGTAGTAAATGCAAAGCTATGAACGTTCCTAATTCCCAGCACTAAGCCAATACAGCCTGTAATCATGTCTGAAGGTCTGCAATATAAGTAATTTTGGCAATACATGTCTGATATTAATAAAACAGAGAGATCTATTGCTAATTCTAAGAAGTTTTCCATTTCTACCTGCTTTTTTTTTTTTTTTTTTCACAGCTGCTTCATCCCTACTATGTACTGCAGCTACTATGTGAAACTAGGAGAGTTCTCAAATTGATGCCAAATATCACCTCTCTTTCAACTTCCTACTCCAAGGATATAACTATCTGTGGTAAGGTGCCAGAGAAGATAAATGCTTTGGGCTATAGGTTGATGTTCTAAGTGGTTAGAGAATGATATAGACTGTTCCAAATTTTGCCATTACAAGAAAGTTCTTGATGCTTTTATTTATTTGTTTGTTTGTTTTCCTCACAAATGCATAAATTGGAACAAATAAAAATGAAGTTTCCAAGTCATAAAAAGTGTATTTTAAGAAAATCCCTCACCTCCTCTTTGCTTGTTTAACATTTCTGAGTCAGGATTCATTCGGCTAACACTGCAGCATAGCTTAAATACTCCTGCACTTCCACCTCTAAAATGCTACCAAGTATTTTGATCACTGCGAGTCTCACCTCTCTCTCCTCTCATTCAGAAAAAAGGTCTTGCCATCACAATTTACTCTGTAATGATTTTAATAAGGACTTAATATGGATGGCAAAAAAGACCTTTAATTGACAGCATGACTATCTTGAATATATTGAAATTATAATAAACCCTGATTTCTAAGGAGACCCAAGAGGATAGATCAACCAACAAATTAGTCTCACAGAATGATGTGATGTGATGTGTACACAGTAAAGAACTAAGGGCTTATTGCCCATCTATTTTGGTACACTTTTGTAAATTATGAATAATGGAATGCAGTGTCCTCACTCGCCACAGAACAGTAGTTCTGGTGACATAACTCTTGACAGCTATCAGGGTGTGCTGTGTGAAATAGTAAAGTGGTATAAGGAAGGGCACTGTGACACATGCAGAACAAATGTTATTTAAGGTGTGGTTATAGACCTACTTTGATTGCCAGAAAAGGGTTTGTTTGAGGGAGGTCTTGTATAAACAATAATTTATTAACCAAACCAACAAGACCCCTCTCCAAACCAAGGAAACACAGATTCATACTTGCTCATATGTTCTTGTAAGCAAACATACCTCCTCATGTTTGTATTGCATTTGCACTGTGTAAGCAGCATCTAAAGGGATCCTTTTCCTTTATTGAAACTAAAAGCTTTTGTAACCAGAAAGAACTTCTGCAGAAGATGGATGACCAATTTTTAAGCATAATTGGTCCAAAATGTTAATTTCCTTAAAATAAGGTATCCCTCACTCCATTTTCTTTTAATTTCAAATTAATAATGCAGATTAAATATATGTCTGAAATGTTGCATCCACATACGTGATGAATATCTGTCATAGCTTGAAGGAATTCCTTAGAATGAATTCAGCAGGCTCACAATTAATAAAAAGTTGCAAAGAAAACATGGAGAGAGGGCAAAAATGTCACTTCTCTTTACCTAATCATTGGTCAGGAAAGCATATTATCACAAGGTAGGTTTTGAAACTGTTCTCCAGCTTTGTGGTGGTGAGTCACAGACATGAGAAGATTGACTCTGTGAGCATGAAATTCAGTCACTTGCAGAGGGGATCTGTGCTGCAGTGATCCTTTGTGTTGGGGTGAAATCCCCCTGCCTGTTCCAAACAAACCTCTTGGAAAGGGCCAAATCTGTTGTTCCTGTGGCTTTAGCACTGAGGCATAATAACGTGGCCAGTTCTTGACACTCTCCATCAAATCCTGCAGATGTTCAGTTGTGCAGTACATGGAGGGCTACTTAGTAAACTTAGATCCATTAGTATGTAGAGGTCTATCATGTTTTGAAATGTCTTTTAGCCATATTTGTTTGCTTTCATATACATAAGGACCACATGGGAGAAAACTTGTTAGGACTTACTAATTCCAGTTTAATAATTCCAGCTTCTTCCTCCTCTGTGAGGAAATGGGGAAAAACAAAAAAAAAAAAAAAGAAAAATGTTTTTTTTTCCTGTAGGAGATTTGCATGGAAACCTGGATGATCTTTTGCTGATATTCTATAAGGTAAGTGGGTTCTCTGAGATGTAGCATTTTCACTTTATGACTTGATGTTAAGAAAACATATTTATGTCTGACAGATTTATCACAGTTAGAACTGCACATGAGGTGTGCATATACCACATACAGAAATCCTAGAACAATTTGGTGTCTTTGTCGTAACTTTTCCTTCTCCATATCCTCTTGCACACTGTGAAGGAGGAGATCTAGGACACAGTTATTTTTTTCCCAAATGTTGAGCTGGAGCTTGAGCCAAAACTTAAAAGGGCTCTTTGCAGTGTCTCCAGACTTCTGCCACTGTTTTAAATTCCATCTTGACTAAAGTCTGCTAATATAGGAGCTAACTTAGTTCCTGATGTAACACTACACCATGGATAATTTTGACTCTCCAGAAAAAATGCAGAAGCTTTCATTTAGGCCTCAACTGATACCTGCAGAGTTTTTTTTTTATATATATTTTTTTTAACAGAAAACAAAAAAGAGTGCTATTTAAAAGCTTTTTAAGCCTTGAAAGCAATCACATAATCTTCACAAAATAGAAATTCTTTGGGCACCCTGTACATATCCTTCTTTTCATGTTAAAAAAACACAGCTCTGTTTTACGGATGTGAAAAAAATTAAGCTCTAGGCTATCTTTGCTGCAATTTTATATTTAACTGAAGATGCAGGAAATGTTGTGTATTTAGTTTCACATTTATCTTCAGCATGAATCACCACCTTTCATTTAGCAGATACTCTCTTTGATTTGAGCTTTCCGGGGGAAAAGGTTTGTGTCTGATCTTTATACATTCATCTGCTCTGAATGGAGGCTGAAGTGAGCTAAACCATGTGTTTAAATAATGTAATTCTCCTTCTGCTTTGCACTTTGTTACACTTTATCTGACACTTGCTGAATGGAAATGTGATTGTTTTGCCCAAGTGGCATACCTGAAGCCTGCTGAAGTTTAGTTGAAGTAAAATCAGACCTTTTTACAGTGTTCTGCTTTTCTTATTAATCAACTATGTTTAGCTGGCCTTAGGCTTGCGGTATTTTAGCTGTTCTTTTAATTACGTGATCTCTCTTTTGGAAACTGGAATAAGAGTATGATACATATTGGTTTCATACACAGAACCTGGAATGGGAAAATAACTGTTTTGAAGATAAATGCTCAGATAGTTAAATAGGTACATTTACAACTGCAATCAGCGTGCATTTTACTCTTTTGGAGTAAACAGATGACGATTCTTTTTCCCCCTCTAATGGATGCTATAAAGAGAAAAAAAAGCCTCTGAGCAACTCCAATCCTGAGTTCAGTAAATTCAGAGCCAAAACTCCCACTGATTTCAGGGACTAGAGATAACACCCAGTCGTTCTCTGTTAAACTTCTAGGGAAGTCCTTCCACCAAACAGAATAAAATGACAAATATTCTGTCATTTCAAAGTGGTTGAGAATATAGAGAGCACATGTTAGAGCTGCTTATTTAGAGGCAAATTAGATGACACAGTATTTTCTGTCCCCTCTGAGCAGTTTAGTCAGATGAGCAGCGAACCCAGCCAGCTTGTGGGATCCATTCTTTTTCTCCATCCCTGACTTTGTTTCAGTTGGAGGGGATTTCATCCTCTAAGTTGGCATGAACCGCCCGTAACTTTAAACAAGAGGGTGCAATCCTAAACAATGCCATGAGGAATTTAGTGAACTCAATCTGCACAGAGCCATGCAGAGCTGAAATGGATTTTGGAGGGCTGCATGTAGACCAGGCACCTTGAGCATGGGGCTCTGTCCAGGGCTTGTCACAGCAATTGTACAAACCACCAACAGCAAACACACAGAGCTTGCAATACATAGCTTATCCGTACAATGCTGTAGATTGTGTATAATTATTAAACCTGGTTTGGGTGAGGCTAAGATAATTACTTTTTTTCCTCAATAATCAGTTTGTGAGGTTCATTCAGTCCCTGCATTAGTCTCCATTAAATTACAGCATTTTCTGAAATTCCTTGAAATGCTTGAATTTTAAATTATGTATTGCTAAGTTAGATTGTTAAATGGATGCTATGGATAGAAGTGGCCTGAAACTGCAGAAAGTGCCAACAACAAACAGAAGTTAATTAATCACTAACCCAGGAGATTCAGTAATGATGCCCAGCAGCAAGTTGCTAATCATTAGAAGGCCTTGTTTGCCTCTCTGACATGTCAGAGGCTGCAACAGCCTTTAATTTAGTTTTACTCTTATTTTTGGTCAAAACCACAGAAAAGGAAATAAAAACTTTGCATGAGTGTGGAACGAAATTAAAATGTCACATTGCAGTTGGAAGTCCAAAACAAACCTGTTAAAAACTATAATGGTGTGTAAGCTTTTCCAAAGGGATGATAGAGTCTGGAGAGTGCTTCAGTAGATCTATCTTTCCCAGAGGATTGCAGCTCCAGAGTGGTTGCATGTATACTCACAATCTAGTGGTGATGCACATGCCTCTTGGTTTTAAGGCAAAGCTTTTATTAATTTGTCTTTCCAGAAGCTGCTGCTGAGTTTCTGCTGTTTGTTCCACTCCTTAAATCCATCCTCTCTCTTTTTTAAAGCCACTACAACCCAATACATTAGCAGAGTCTCTTACAGTGTCACTCCTGTGAGCACAGAGCGATCGCAGGCCTCTTCTAAGTAAACCTGTAAAGGGCTCAGGACAAGCAAAACCCAAGGAAGTCGTATTTACAGCAGTCAGGATCAAGAGACCAGGATTTGCTACTGCATCCTGACATAGCAATGCTGCCAAACCTTTTAAGAGTGGCTTCCACAGTTATGATGTGATTTTATAAATGTTCTATTAATAATTCTTGTGCGTATCGGTTGTGAGAACAGAGGTTTCCTTTTTCTGGCAAGGCAAAGGATGAAATAATATTTCTGACACTCATGATTGGAAATGAGGAAGCTACATATAATTGATGATATGTTTTCTGTAAGTTGATGGCACCCATTGCTGCACTGGTAATTAATCTAATGAAATATACCATCAATTCAAAATACTAGCTTTTGATGAGTAACCATTCATAATAAAGCATTGCTCTATATCTTCAGAGAAAAAATAAGTTAAGAAATACCTGTATGTACAGCCTATCAGATTTGTGAGCTTTCAAGTATATCCTTCCCCTGATGGGGACAAAGTGCAAAGTGAGTAAAATTCAAGTAGTGCTTTCAGGATTAAAGCAACTGGAATCAAAATCTTCAGAGTTCTGTATCAAGATTTTGTATCCTCTGGACTATAGTCTCTATCAGGAGCTTTGGAAGCATGCACTGCAAAAAATGTAAATATATTAAATCCGTTTCCTAACCATGTCAGGAAACATAAGGACCTTCAAACTTGAGTCAGAAGACAATTTGTCATTGATTTCTTACCTTCCATTCAAAGACTGACTCCACTCTGTTTGCAAGTACACAATTTCCTGGAAACAGTTGCATTAATGGAAGAGTATATTTTATTACAAGACTGATGTCCCTTTTGGTCCTATTTTGTTTAATAGGTAGAGGATAGGATTAGAGATGGTATCATAAGAACAGCTAGAGGTCATCTCTGATGGCTTATACAGGTTGTCTGATATGGAGGTTTTTATTTTAAGCAGCAGAAATAAAGAAATGCTACATTTTAGATTTCTATATTATGCAAAGATTTTTTCAGACTTTCTAGCAATGTGACCTCATTTAAATACTATTTCCTTTATTACAGTACCATAGCAGCATCTCTAAATATCCTTTTTTTTGTTTCTTCCTGCAGAATGGTCTGCCTTCAGAACAAAACCGTTATGTCTTTAATGGTGATTATGTTGACAGAGGGAAAAATTCTATGGAAATACTTATACTCTTATTTGCATTTTTTCTTATCTATCCCAATAATATATCCTTGAATAGAGGAAACCATGAAGACTACTTGATGAACATGAGGTAGATTCTGGAGGGCAGGGTGGGTAGTATCTGGCCTTTCACTAGAAATGTTTGAGCTTTTGAATGCTACTTTAGCCACTGTGACACTCTAAAATACAAGTAATATTTTATTAAGTATTCAGGTGTAGCTTTGCATCTTCAAGATCTGTGAGGGGGGGGAAGGAATATCCTCATTACACACAGGAGAACCGTATCTTGTCTCTGACTTAGTCACAATCCATTGAAGTCAGAGGCCTTCTTGCAGCTTCCAGAGTATCAAAATTGGGGAAGGAGGACAGATGGAAGGATATTTTAGTTAAAAGCACATATTTAGTTAAAGCTGATATTTCAGTTAACTTTAGACTAAGATGTCACTTCTCAAACACAAGGGGCAGGTAAATATTCTAGCTTCCACTCTGGGGAGGTTCACTGGTTGGGAGGCATCATCTGTCCCATTGCAGGAACAGCTGAGAGACCCTGCTTTGTAATACAGCCATTTGTACTCAGCTGTACAGTGTTGCCAAGGGAGGGAGCACAAGCAGTGGCTCTGGCTACAGTGAAAATGTGACTTGTAGAAAAAAATCATCTCACAGATGTGGGAAGAACTCCTCAGTCATAGTCCCTACAATTCTAAGCCATCCCAGTAAGTCTTTGGTTGACTGACTGGTCGGCAACCTGTTGAACCCCTTTGATCATTTGATGTGTCCACACAGAATATAGTGCTGTTTTAACACAGGCACAGACCTGAGTTAGAGGCCCATGGTCAAGTCCTGTTAATGATCCACATAAGAGAATCAGTCTCACATAATTCTTTTTTCAGCACTTAATTCAAACAAACAAACAAACAAACAAACAAAAACTTAAAAACCAAAACAAAACCAACAAACATAAACCAAGATCAGTTACTTAATCTATGAAGTAGGAAAATTCCCACTCATAGTGGAAAATATTAACTAAATGTGTGATGGTATGAAGTGCACAGATGGAATCCTGTGTATGGCTCTTTGCCAGGCATTTTAATTATCAGTGCTGCACATATGTAAATTTGAAAGCTGAGTGTTGTGAAAATGCCCCTCGACCAAGGATATCTTGGTGTTACAAGAATGAGGTGTCAAAATCCTTGTCCCTTGTGGGGGAAAAAACGTAATAGGTGACATTGTCTAAGAAAGTTACATGTTCAAGGCCAGGTTGGATGGAGCTCTGAGAAACCTGGTTTAGTGAAAGGTGTCCCTGCCCATGGCAGCGAGGTTGGAACCACATGATCTGTAAGGTCCCTTCCAATCCAAACCATTCTATGATATGATTCTATGATGATATGATATTTAGGACAAAAACTCTGGGGAGGCTTTGTGGGAATTTTTGCTCATCATCAGTTAGGTTCCTTTGAAATTTCTCTCTGGTATTTAAAAGGTAAAGTTGGCAAAGTGGCCACTTAATGACTATTAGGATGGATACTGTTCCTGACCTCTGTATGTACAAGAAATCAGTTTAACTCGGTTCTTGAGACAAGGTGGAAGAAAGCACATTTAAACTGAGGTGAGATGGAAAGGCAGGAGAAAAATGGGGCTAGAAAACTCCTGGCAAACACTGTAGCACAGGAAACCATACAGAAGGGGCACACTGGAAAAACAGTTCATGATGCTGTCCTATTTTCAGATATGGCTTCACAAGAGAAGTTTCGAATAAGTACAAGGTAAGATTCCTCCTCCTTCCCCTATGTTTTCTTTGTAGTCTTGTAGATGTAAAATGAGATTTGTGAAAACAAGGAAACTTCCAAGCAGTTTATGTAGGTGTAACAGAGAATTACTTTAGTGATGTAGTTGAAATTATTTTGGCACATCAGTGGACAAAACAATTTTGAGTGCTAGCCTCTTATTCTCAGAGATCTATGGGATGAATTAAATAACATCCATAAGGCCATTTAAGAACACAAAAAGAGGTGACCATGAAAGAAAAGCTAAATTATACAATCAAATGGCTCTAAAGTAAATGTCAGAACATTTGTCAACGTTGCAATTCAAGTTGTCACCTGAACGAAACTGTTCATACAGACTGTAGCAGATGCTTCAACAAAATCTTGAATTTGGAAGCAACAGAATCTGCCAGAAATAGGATCTAATGTAAGGGTATATTTTACAGGAACACAGTCCGCAGATTTTGTATCTTCTGCGAGATGTCTTTAGCTGGCTACCCCTTGCCACTATAATTGATAAAAAAGTTCTCATCCTACACGGAGGAATTTCAACCACCACAGATTTGGATTTCCTGAAGACACTCAAAAGAAATAAGGTAAGAGATATATTATCCACATGGGGGTACAAATGCTGATTTTTGCATTAGGAAACTAAATGGTTGCTGTAAGGAAAAAAAAAGAGTCCTATTTTTTTCAAAATCAGCATTTAGGAAGGAAAGTTTCAGTAGGTGTTGCGAGCCAATTGTTTGGCTGCTATAAAATAGCACAGCTCTTTTGACTTTAAAATAGCTAAAAACACTTTAGATCCCCCCTTCCTGCAGTGATGACGCATTAGCCAGAAAGTATGAAAAGTACTCGATTCAAAAACACTTTGGAAACCAATCTAGCCACGTATTTCTAGCACTGGCTTTTGTCCTGGGGCTGTGCTTCTGCCATCTGCTGTGTGGGGGAAGTTCTCCACCTGTGAGGCGTTCCCTTGGCAGCAGCTGAGTGTTGTACATGTGGGAGAGCCTTTCCAGAAGGTTCAAACTTAAGACCTGGCCTTGAGAAAACAGAAATTACAGCTTTTCAGGGATTTAAAAACCAGAAATGTTCATGTTTTTTTCTGAAATGGTGAGCAAACACAGCTCTTTCAAATGAGTGGAAAATGGTGTGGGATTTGGTCTCAATCCAGACAACTAAATCAAGATGTCTGCTTGTGATCAGGGTGCTGAGGCTCCTTATAATCAGTGGAGATCCAAGAGATCTGGTGGAGGTCTAGTTCTTAGACATGTCTCCAGTGCTGTTCATGGAAGCATCCCATAGGCTAGGGATGTTCTCTCTGGCTTTTGCCTGCCTCTGAAGAAAGTCTTCTTTGTAGGTTTCCTCCACCAGTCTCCTTTAGGTCACGTTTGTGTCTGCCCCCCTCACGCTGATCCACAGACATAGTAGAGCATCTCAGATGGCACAGGAGACCTATATTTAAGCAACATAGTGTACCCTGCAATGAATGTCTGTGCTATTTCTGTCATTCTCATGTTTTCTAATGCAGAAATAAATGCTTTACGGGACTGTCAAGTGTGTCTCTGTCTTTCAAAGATGTGAAAAAGGGCAGTGAACATTTCTGATCATTGGAGTCTGGGCTGTGTTGGCTGTACCACTGTACACTAAAACTGGGTACCCAACTACAGATGCAGGCGTCCTAACTCTGAGCTGAGTTCTGCCCATGCTTTCACCAAGGCTGGGCTCGGCATGTTTCTGATGCAGTATCTGTGAAATACAGAATTAACAGGTCAAAGTTGCTGCCACAGGAGAGTGTTGCTAATGAGACATTTGTGGGCCACAACCCAGGGCAGTATCACTCAAGGCCAAGTGGTGTATTTTAATTGGTACAGCTGGCATCTGACACGTCTCAAATACTGGCCAAGGCACTGGGGAATAACCCAGTGGTTTGCATTTTGTTTTGAATCAGTCCTTTTCTTTGTTAAAGAATAACATCTGGGGGGCTGTGGAGGATGTGTGTTTTGGTGGTGGTTGGTTTTTTTTGTTTGTTTGTTTGTTTTTGTTTTGTTTTGTTTTGTTTTTGTTTTGTTTTGTTTTGTTTTGTTTTGTTTTGGAAATAAGCTAGTATGAGAAAATTTCAAATGAGAAGACACTCCCTGGTGAAAAGTCTGTATGAATGGTCATTCACAGAGCTATAGCACACCACTCCAAAAAAGCAAACACCCATGAGTGTTGGAAGAGGTTGATTTAACAATAAAAGGCCCGATCAACTTCACTGTTATCTTCCTCATATTCCATTTCTCCCACCCAAATTAACCTAACAGCATGCTACTGTGTCAGAACAGTAGTGAATGAAGGTTCATCTTCAGTACAGTATGAATATGTATTTTGTTTCCAGGAAAGCTGGGCACTTACGTGTCATCCCTGAGCCTAGGTCATGTCATACTTGCTGTACAGTGAGACCTTAAGATTGTGGTATGAAGGAGTCTGTGTGTCTGGATAAGATTATGAAAGCAGCTCTGAAGAGGCTGGTTGCTGATAGGTATAAAGCAAAATTTCTGCAGGTGCCAAACACCTTCAGCTTCCTCCAAACCTGTGAGTTCAGGACATCTCAGTGAGTTTTCCTGAGTAGAAGAAACATGAATTGATGTGCCTTTCAGCTAAAATCTCTGCATCAACTTTATGTGCTGATAACTCTTTCAGTTTGTTGTGTTTTTCTTAAAGTTGAAATCTTTGCTACGGCTGCCCAAGTCAACAAGAGGCAGACAGGACCTGAAGGAGGGAATTTCCACAGCTGACCTCAGTAAACACACTGCCAATCAGAATGATTTTGGGAAGGCACGCTCTGACTCTTTATCGGTCTCCACTGAGCCTTCAGGCTCCATTTTGCCTCTGGGCCCCACTGAGGAGGAATGGAAACAGGTAGGTGAAACCGCAGAGTGATACCAAAAACCTCCTGCACAAAACCAGCAGGTGTTCTGTTCAGGGAGTATGTTTGAGTCATAGGGAACTGTCTCTTAATAAGAAAGCAGTCATATACTAGACAGCTGTTAGTTTTTTGGATGCTTTTGGTAGACCTGGTAACAAAAGCTTAGGATTTTATACCTTACAGTTTGCCCAGTGTTTTGCTTTCTTAGCTGTTAGGAGGAAGAAACTGCTAAGTATGAAATGTGTTTGCTTGCCCTCATGTGGTTGGATCTGTTGAGACATATGTGGTTATTGGTTTAAGCAGGTCAGACTTTGCAATTGTTGGTGAGAGCGAGCACCATTTTTTGGCTGTGGTTTTGGCAGCTGAATGCTGATACAGCCCAAAAAAACACCCAACTCCCGAGATCTACAAGGAGATCTACAATGCTGATTACTCAAGAGTGGGAAGTTTTTGTCCTCTGGCTGTTCCTTTCCTCTTGAATATTAGGGCCAATATGGAACTTTTCTGTACTGTAATTTAATAAATTGTGGCAATTTGGAAAGCTAATTTGGAGATGTGATACCTATCTGACTTACAAACCAATATAATGGGCACAAGTAACACCCACACACCCCCTCAAAACTGGCACTCCCCCAGCTAATCAATTATCCACTGAGCCATGCTCACAAACATGAAGTGGAATGTGTTAGTGCAAACCTTGTCCAGCCAGGTTTAAACAAACACAGTTTGACTAATATTTGCTCCTAACTACACTTAAACTATAATAATTCATCTTCACATCTGAATCCTGCTAAAATGCTAATACATAAAATCTTGTTTTAAAACACAAGCTACCTGAAGACAATAAAGCCAAAGGCTTGTCATGTTTAGAGCAGGCACTCCCAAGCTTTGGTTAGGTAAAACCACCTAGATGAGAAGAAGGCAGCTTTTGCTCTCTTCAAAATAGCCCAGGTACTGTTCCTGATGCACCTGTCCAAATCAGAAAAACTCAGCTGTGAAAGGAGGTATATTACTGAAATGGTATGTCATCTGAAAAAAAAAGTTAATCCAAAATCTAGGTCATGTTTCTTAAAAAAAGTGGAACAAAAGTTTCAGCCCAAAAAAATGCCCTCTGAGAGGAAGGAAGAAAACAGAAGACCTACATGTTAGCTCAGATGTGTTTTCTCCCTGTACTGTGGGGCTTTTGCTAGGGCCAGTACTTCAGACCATCAGAGCCTGTCAGTCTTCACCTACTGTCGGTCCTCACTTGCTTGAGTTTGCTATTTGTAGATCCTTGATATTCTCTGGAGTGATCCAAGAAGCCAAAATGGCTGTACACCAAACAAGTGTCGAGGAGCAGGCTGTTACTTTGGTCCTGATGTCACTGCCAAGATCTTTAATAGGTATAATCTGAAGATTCTCATCAGGTCTCATGAATTTAAGCGGGAAGGTTATGACATCAGTCATGGTGGGAAGGTAAGATGCTTCCATGTAAAGCAGAATTCTCCTGTGAATTTCCCAGGCACATCCACAATAGATTTGTCTGCAAAATTAATTAAAAAATATAAAAAGAGAGTGACTTCCTTAAATTGGATTTGGGGGAATTTTGTGCTAGATAGATGTTACAACAAATTACCAAGTTCTGATGAACAAAATTCTTTACAGCTTCAGGGAGTGGGGACCAGTTTATTACTCACATGAAAAGAAATGGACATCAACAAAATCCCTGAGAAGAGTTGTGTGTAAATACAGTGCAAGAGATGCCCTAAGGCTCTAGAAGCCTTTTAACTTAATGATTTCTCTTCTGGCCTTGCTTTCTGAGGTGATGTATTGGGAAGCCAGCAAGAATCCTGAAAACTAGATCTGTCTTAGAAAGTGATTTTTGTTAAACAGCATGTTATATCTCACTGCCCTCTGAACTGAAATCTTCCTATGATAGATTAAAAATACAGGCCCAGAGCTCTGACTCAAAAGGCAAGACCAATTTGATGAATTACATGGTTTTATATGTAGCCACTTAATTTTGTAACCTGCATTTTTTCCTAAGGTCCGTTTCAGAAGTCAGTGTCAAGAAGAGCTGTTCCAGCCAATTGAGTTTCTTTGTTTCCTATGATCAGGTTATCACTATCTTCTCTGCCTCTAACTATTACGAAGAGGGGAGTAACCGGGGAGCGTACGTCAAACTGGACCCTGAACTAATTCCTCGGTTTGTACAGTTTCAATCCAGCAAATACACACGCAGGCTGAATGTTCAGGAGAGGTAAAGCTGTGTGTTGCATGCAGTGAGCGTGTACTTGCTTGTGAGTACCTGCCACAAATCTAGAGTTGATTGAATAATTGAATAGGCATCTATTTTTCTTGATTTTTCCTCGTTTTTTATTTTACCATTTAAAAATTAATACAGTAGACCAAACATGTTCTATATGGTCTAACATGGTTTCCTGAGAAACTCCCAATGGTAATTAGATAAGGTAAGAGGATAGAACAGACAACTGTCAGGGACTTGTAAAGGGTCTCCACCTGTCTGTCAGATTTGCTTTAAGGCTGCAGTGTTAATCTGGACAAATCCTGTTATGAATTGAGTCAAAAAAGTTTATCATGGCTTTGCCATGCTTAGCACTGTGGTCAGATACTAAAGGAAAGCAGCTGTATAAACTCAACTCAGATTATTTTTATGGAGCACTTCTGGTTTTGTTTGGTTTAGGGCTTTCCCCCCTTCCCTCCAGTGTTCTCTAGTATGTTTTGGGTCATCCTACTTAAACATCCAACATGTTAAAGGATAAAAGAATTTGATAATGATTGTTAAAAAGTATAAAATGCCAGAGGATTTAAATTTTTTAATAATCTGCTCTAATTTTTTCCCTTCTAGGGTGGGTACAATTGAATCATCTGCCCTAAAGTCCTTACGAGAGCTGATTTATGCTCATAGGTCTGAACTCATTAGAGCTTTTTCACAATACGACCCCAGAGGCACAGGTACCACTCCCTTTTTTGTCCACTTGCCACTATGGGGAAAACACTTCCGTGTATGTGGGGGGCAGAAGGGACAAACCTCATGGAGAGGGGTTCCTGCCTGCCTGCCAGTGTAAGGCTGGAGGGCAGCGGAGGCTGGCTGACTTTGTTCTTCCTGACCACAGAGGGCAATAGGTGTTGGTAAGTGCTTAGCCCTGGAAAACAACTTGAGAAGATGAAGCCTTAAGTAGGAAGAAGAAAACTGAAACACATGGGCAAATAAAGAAATGCTGTTTGCTGTTGGGCAGAGAGTATGGGCAGGCAAATCCAGTTCCAGAAGCTCGAAGATCACCACCTTCTCTTAGGTGGTGTCTTCAGATGTCAGACAGGGAACTGGGGTCTCAGACAAGTGGGAACTGGTCTCCTTCTGAGTCTGGGAGGTACATGAGGAAAGTTGACTGCCTGTACCTCTAGTAGACACACACTCACCTATCAGCAGCAGCAAATTCAGTGGTAAGTTAATAGATGAAGCTTTTATGTACGAGTAAGAAGTTGATTTCTACTGCAAATACAACTTTTTCTTGTGATGGCTCCTCACTTGACTGTGCTCCTACAAGGCCACTCAGTAACATGATGGTACTCTTTCTTTGGCCACTGAACAGTTGTTTGACATATTTCTGTCTTGTTGAATTTTTCAGCCACATGTTGGTGCAACTGCAGCTCAGCTGAAATCTGAACTACTCTTCATGGCATAATCTGTTTTTCTCAAAAGGTGTTAATACATGTTGAACATCCTAACAGCATCACAGAGTTGTTGAGGTTGGGAGGCAGCTGTGGAAATGTCTAGTCCAACCCCACTGCTCATTGTTATGAGGGCTTTAATTCTGGGGTTAACAGAAAATATTCATGCTTCGCGACTTTTCTTAAGAGTGCTTGTGAAGGTGTGCAGGTGACTGACGTGTGCTGTGTCATGTTCCGCTTGTAACCATGAACTGACCCCTTCTGGCAGGCAACGTTTCTGTCCATGACTGGGCTGCAGCAATGGAGTCTGTCCTACATCTGGAGCTGCCCTGGAGGATGCTGCGGCCTCACTTAGCACATACGAACCTGGATGGAGAAGTTCGATTCATGTCATGTTTTTATGATTTAGAAATGGATCCACCTATAAAAGAGGTAAGGACAAAAACACCTTCTTGCAAATCTTGGAGGAACAGCTTTTGGTGCAGCTTGAAGCACAAGACAGTGGTTTGGCCAATCAGGTAGGCATCTACATCTGAACTAGTTGTCAAACTTCCTTTTATAGTCACTGGAAGAAAATGAGCACTGCTTGGGTGCGAATCATCATTCCTTGTTAAGGTAGATGCTTAAAATAGGTTGGATGAATCACATGCTAGAACTGCTCCTTACTTTCTGCTGACTCTCAAGGGTGTTTAGATAATGTAGCTGAGGAGATGCGACAAATTCTGCCCAGAGCACTCAACTCTCTTCGAAATGAGCTTTTAAACATGCTACAGAGCCAATTCCCTATACCATCTTCCCTAGATTATTCACATTTCCACAAATAATTACTGAAGGTAGGAGGTGTGAAGGGCTCCTTTCCCCCTTGCTCTGCCAATTTGAAAGTGATGGGGTTTATCTGATTATTCCTCAGGGCAAGACACAAAGTGTTATTCCAGGAAACTTAAGCATAAGGATTTTTTTTTTTTTACCATTTGACAAGTTAAAATAGGAAAATGGAATTGGACTGTACATATTCTGTTGGTCAACCTAACTCAAACCAAGGTCTGAATGTCTTCCTGTATGCAGTTGCAACACCAGGCTCAGCCAGCTTTGGTGGAAACACTGTGCAGATACAGAAAGGATCTGGAGATCATCTTTAACATCATGGACAAAGATAACTCAGGTAAGTCTAGGTAACTTTACTGTACCGGCTCTAGGAAGCCTATACTAGTTATTTTTTCCCCACTGTGTTTCCTCCTTAAGGCTTCTAAAAATAGAGGAAGCAGAGGTGATGTAATTTTTCCATTTTAGTGAAGACTAATTTAAACAGTCAGGCTGCAACCATATAAGGGACAGTTCACAGAGCCTAACTTCACAAAAAATTCTCACATACCCCATCTTCAGTACTGCCTTCACTCTTTTTGGGGGCTCTTTCTCCCTTCTACTCTCACTCTCAGTATTTACTGCTTTCTCAATTCCTCTGGCAAAAGCATCTGATCATTATCTCAAGTAAAAATGTACTTTAGTCATGAAAGCACAAAACACTCCAAAGCCAGGGTAGGCAGGTAACTTTCTTGCAGGGAGGGAGTGTACATGTATGTGTATTTGCAGGAATGGGAAGCATTTTTGTACCGGAAAAAGCAACCTGCTGTGTCTCTTTTAGGTCTGATTTCTGTTGAGGAGTTCAGCCAGACATGGAAACTCTTCACCTCTCACCTGGGCATTGATGCACAGCATGACTCTTTTGACAAATTAGTCTTGAGTATAGATAAAAACAAAGATGGCCAAATTGACTTCAATGAATTTTTAGAGGCCTTTCACGTTGTTCACAGAGTTGAGGAAAAGGCAAACTCATGAAAAGGCAGAACTTGTGAGCTGTCATGGAAGCTCACCCTCCTGTCCTTGGTCATAAAAGGGCTGCTCAATACGATATGATACGATATGCACTGAGGTCACCGTGTAAGCCTTTATGTAGTCCCTGCTGGATGACATGTACCTGCTACTAATGAGACAGAGGAGATGAAAACCCACTGCTTACAGCATTACTGTGTCACTGCCACACACTGCCAGTACCTTAGAATTTACCCTCCCTCATGTCCCCCATTAATCTAATCTGGGAACACTGCCAGGGTCACACCTTCAATAGTGTAGGGAGAGACTTGGGTTTATTTCTCTCAGTGGTTCTTGGCGACAGCTGAGGGCATTGGTGACCGCATGGAACAGATCAGACCTTCCTTGGTTATGAAACAGGCACAAGAGATGCTGTCTATGGAGTATCCAGTGCAGGAAAGGAAAACAAGGAAGAACCATCTGGTTCAAATAGGTTTTTCTGCATTTAAATTTGTTCTTTGCATAATGGACTGGAACTAAATTATTCCAGGTCGCTGTCTATCTTACCAGAAGTTTACAGACACAACTTACAGTATCTTGGTTGAAAGGTGTTTACACTTGTGCTAGGTTTCCTCTTAACACTGGTAACTTTTTGCCGCATTTTTTGAAACTTGGAGATAAGAAACAGTCATAACTCGTCACCGTAATGAAGGCTAAATCCATAGCATGTTAATGTATCATACAAAAGATCACAAAATAAAGCTTTAGCTTTCTGAGTAATGTCTAACTGGCTAAGTGGGATGTCTTTTTGCCTGTATTTGGGTACCCTGCCCCTATCAGAGTAAAACACACTTTTCCTGAAGATGAACTGGGTTTCTTAAAAACAAAGAAATGAGTATAAACACAAAGTAAACATATTTTGGTATTATGAAGCTAAATATTCTTGCATGTAATTAAAAATAAATTCTTTACCAAGAAAAGGGAACTGAGAAATTCTGAATTAGTTTTTCAAATGCAGCAAGATGGAAAACTCCAATGCCCCCACCTGCCTGTCTCCTCTCCCCTATTGCGAGCCAATATTCCCATTCCTGCCAGTTCCACCCTGTGAGCTCCCGGGGAGAGTCAAGAGATCTGGACCTAATTCTATTGCCTATTACACTCCAAAAGCAACACCAGGTCAGGAGCTTTTGGTTGCAAGTATCACCTCATTCAGTTTTAGTAAATACAGTGCACATAATGTGCTTTTTGGGTAGGAAAAGGGTTCAGTCTAGTCCCTCTTTAAATCATATTAAAGATGAGCTAAGTAAATCAGTTTGGTTTTATTTAATAACAGTGTTGAAAGTACAAGAAAAAGCATCTTTTGTGGTTTATCATCACAGAAATGTAACAGCAGCCTGAGCTTAAGGCACTGCTCTCTCTCTTAAATATTACTTTTTACAATTAAATCCAGAATACTCTCCCAGAAGTATTTTGTAACTTGACAGATGAATGAATAAACATGCACACACTTACTTCTATTGCCTTGGGGGAGGGGGGGAAAAAATCTTTAATAGTGCCAACAAAATTTACAGTAAAATGTTAATGGCATTGGTAATGCTTAACATCTATTTTTAGCATGCAGTTATGCTCATCTGTGATGACCAGTCCCACCTTATTCCAGTGGAGTGACAAAAAAGCTCCACTTAAGATGGACAAACACCACGGTGTGTTGTGGGATCTTGCTTCCCACTGTTGGCTTCCATGCTGTAGGTGCGAAGTGACAAGGTGGAATGGGACAGTGCAGCTCTGGAGTCCTCCTTTGCTCTGAAACACGGCTGACAGCCTCAGTTTAGATGTCCCCCACTAATGACACATTCCTGAAGATGACATAAAGTTGAAGGACACTCGCCTTGATGGATCACTTCACGAGAGGGAGTGCCAAGGTACAGCTGCAGTGCAGTGCTGCACTCAGCAGGCAGTAAGAGGCTTTTGGGGATGCAGCACTGAAGTATGAGAGGAGCTGAATCACTGACCCAAAAAAGAAGGCCCCTGTCCTGTCAGCTGCTGGCAGCACACAAGAGCCCCCTTGCCCCTGACAGAAGAAGGGGGGTGGCAGGGGAGTAACTGTGAAACATCTAACACCAGGAATAAATGCCACTCGAGGCTGAAACTGGGAATGGGAAAAAGCCCTGCTGCTTGTACTTAAAACCACATAGCCCCACTCCCAATCCCTTGTAGTCACAATTCTATTCAGTGGCTACTTAATATTGCAGATGTGACTGGTCCTTTGAGCAGGGACTGAATCAGTCTGCAGATGAGTGCCCAAACCCTACAGCTACAGACGCCACTAATGGTGGCTTCTCTCTCCTGCTTTATGAGCAACTCTGCTCCTAACTGTGGACCACACCAGAAAGTGCCCAAGGCTGCACCTGGACTGGCCCAGGCTCTGGCTTCACTCAAGCCCCTCGCTGCTGCTGGAGGGGTGACACAGTCCTGCAGTGCCCTGTGTCCTCAGGGGGCAGCCCAGGTGTTTCACCACGCACCACAGAAAGTGGCCACACCTTTATAGGGCAGCTAGGGACTGTGCAGCTCACCTGCACCTTCCAGGAAGAAGAAGGGCTCTTTGCCTAAGGAAGGAAACCACAACTAGCAGGAGAGAAGCCAGACAAACTTTGTACTCCACCCATTAACTTTTCACATTTACTGGTGGGACCAGCAGCCGAGGGAGATCAAAGGTGGTTTTGATCTGTCTAGTTTGACAAACCCATGCCCTTCACTTGGCGGCAGGGAGAAGGAAACAGCCATGATCAGGGAGCATAGCCTGAAGGAGCTGGCTTAGAGCCAGCATGCAGTGTGAGCTCCAAGCTGGACACCCATCATTTTTCCGGCCAGTGGCCCCACCCAGCTCCATTCCTCTCTCCAGGCACATCTGGCTGCCTCCGGCACTTGCGTAGGTGCTTCTGACCCCACAGCTGCAAACTGCTTAGGGCAGCAGTGCCTGTCAGGCTGGGACAAGCAGCTCTCAGGCAGCCTATTTTAATTCACTAATGCCCTTGTTTCTGAGGCACAGGATGTGTCTGTTCACCTTTGCCTTCTTTCCATAAATGTGTTTCCAGGGGCTGGAAGCTGGCAGTGTCATCCTCTGCTGGCTCCCCAGGGAAGCCACACGGCCAAGTTGAGCCTCTGCCAATTAGCTCAGCCCCACACAAACTGCAAAGTCGTCATGTGTTTTATCTGTGAGCACACCCTCGCCACTGCCAGTGCCAGCTCTGCTTTGCAGCAGCCTAACACACACCAGGGATTCTCAGCACAGCAGGGGGTCTGTGTAAAACCTTATTTGCTTAATTAGGTTTGCACTACAATGCAGCTCTCCAACTGGAATGGTTCTTCAATCTGAGCAGCAAGCTGAAGCTGTGCCTGACCTGAAAATAACACAAGTTTCCCTTCCCCTGGCTGTGTGTTTCAGAGTCTCACCTTTCACCATCAGCTACCTAAACTCTTCAAATTATCACATAAATACTTTCCAAGTGCCTGCATTTCATGCGGTAACTCATTATGATCATCATAAGTATACCATAACCTGGGTCATACTGTGAATTTCATATTAAAGACACCAATGACACTGCCATTAAAAAGAGAAGTGTTACGGGGTGTCAGGGTATGTTAGGCCATACATTTCATTGTTTTAGACTTCAGTGCAGCTTAATGTAAAACCAGCTACATCACCCTTGTTTCTGAAAACAAGATCACACTGTAGGTTAAAAAAATAAGAGTCTGAATGAAAATCATCTTGCATCTCTCACAGCCTAGGATTCAAAAACAAAACCAAAAATAACAGTAAATTTTCATATGATCCTGGGTAGAACAAGAAACCATCACACCAGCTCTTGTGTGCTCATGCTCTGCACGGTCACATCTGCTTAAACTAGACAAAGGATTTTACTTTTATTTACTGGGAAACAAGCCAAGTGAGCTCTCACAATACATATGAAAAGGAAAAAAAACCCAACCAAACAATAATGAAGGCAAACCCGTACAAAACAGGCACCATGCCAATAAAATGACTTCCACATCCAAGTGCTAATTGTACCTGAACTGTCACTTTATGCTGGCCCCTCCACAGGCCTGTAGTTCTCATGGTGGTTAACACAGGGCGTCTCTGGGAGCACCCAGTCCAAAGGCTCCTGGGCCTCTGGACTGCCAAACTCCTCTGGTCTCTGCAAAAACATTAAATCACTTCCTAAGGGCTCCCACGCCTTCACTGTCTTGAGGCAGTGCCCAGGCACTGCTACAGCAGCAGCGACTGGGTAGAGGGACAGCAGGCAGCGTGGCATGGCTGGCAACTGGCAAGTGAGACAGGGTGTTGTCAAAGTATTTCAGATACCTTCATAAAACTGGAAACAAAAACCTCACTCTCAAAAGCACCACCTACTGTTGTTACAAAGAAAAAAAAAGTTTTCAAATCCTATACAAATGGCATAGTTACATTTTGAAAGACTGGAGGGGAAGCTCACAGAAATATACTTAATCAGGCTTATTAGCTCAGATAATATTTACTTTTTAGAGGCCTGTCTGCTCTTTTCCCCTCTACCTGGCAAGATAGAATTGCTCTGATCCTTCCTGCTCACATGGTGGCAGTGCTGGCACACCTCCACACTGCTGGGGGAGCCCATGGCCACGCTAAAGCTACTGCCATGCTCCCAAGCTGTCAGCCAGATGCTGGCACGTGGCTATTGGCAAACCAGCAGTGCCAGCACAAGCAAAATGCAGCCTGGGGTCCAGCAGGGTTTTCCTCTCCAGCCTAACACTGTTTGCAGTTTCAATGGCCATGGGACCATTGCCCTGCAGGACACACCTGTTCTCCCTGGAGCAACTCAAGAGTTTCCAGAGGACAGATCCTAGGTGCCAGCACCAACCTGGGAACTGTCTGAAGGGAGACCTCCAGACAGCCCAAACTCTTACTACATGTGACCACTGCAGCTTCAAACTGAAAACTAAAATAAGAGAAAAAAAGAAGTGGGAAAGGAAAAAAAAAAAAAAGAGAAACATCAAAGCCTTCCATAAACTCACGCTGTGCTGGAAGGGCCACAATTATGCCATTCTTAACTCTGAGGCTGTTTGCAAGGGAAACAATCGGGACACTTGGAAAGGGTGCTTGAGTGGAAGCGGTTTATCTTGCTCCATTCAGAGGAAAGGATCACAGGCATAAAAGTGTCTGTCACCTTGGGGAAGCTGGAGTCTTCAGATTTTGCCTCCAAAGCCTCAGGGACGCAGGGAAGGAAGCTGTTTTGTTCAGATTAAAGACAGATACGGCTTCCTGACAGAGGCTATCCTCTCAAATTAGTGGATATTGCAAGATGTTTGTCTCTACTGGCGTTAGCCCAGCATTGACTAGGTGCAAGTGAGAAGCGCATCGGGATAAATGTGAATGAGAAGTATCACTGGGTTATTTCAAGTTATTCCTATGCCTCTAATTTACATTTCCCTGGATGTTTCACACTGTGCATTAGTGATTCACAATGATGTACATTTACACACAGCAGGAGAAAAATTAATGAATTCCATCACTTCCCTTATTTGGGAGACTCTATGCCTGAGATTCAGCTCCCTTGTTTTATTATGCCTTTTGATCTCCACAGAATAATCTGTTCTCCCCTTGGCAGAACTGTATAATTCTTTCTAATTTACTATGAATTACATTTATGCACTTTGGGCAGAATAAGCCTCATTATTTGTTATTTCTTTCACACTCTCCTAAAACCAGGCCAAATTCCAGCTCCCTGTCCTGTGTAGGTAGGGCATGCACAG